TCAAAAAGAGGGAGAAACCATTCAGGACAAGGATTTAATGGAAGTATTACTTAGACAGGTATACAATATTTAGTTCAACATTTTCTCCCCAGACCTTCTTCTGTCTCCTCCTCCTCTTGAAACAGCAGAGAACAAGAAGATTCTGTTTTAGAATAACTGTTTATTGAAAGAGCACATAGTAGTAACCACAACCAAAAGCAAACAAGAAACTAAACACCTTCAAATTACCTCTAAGTTTCCTTTTTACATAGTCCACTCATTTTTATTTTTTTTTAACTGGAGGGAAGGAAAAAACAACAAACAAAACGCAAATGCAATTCTGCATGTTTGCAACAGGCATGATATATACACAAACCAAACTTACATTTACATTAAACATCCTGAAAAGACAAAAGAGCATTTCAAACACCATAGTGATTCCCCAGTCACACAGCTAGCAGTTTACTAGACACAAGTCTCACTCCCAAACAGAACTCAGTTTTCCAAGTTCCAATTCCAGACACAAAATGCATTTCTCATACGCTGTGCCTAAATGCAGGAAAAATGAGAAACCGGTAATGGTTTGGTCCAAGCCACATCCCCTGACTCTGGAGAAATCCACTGGGCAATTTCTGCTTTATTTTCAATTTGATATCCTTATCCTCTGACACACTGTTCCCGAGGTTTTCAAGCAAGTGTTGTTTGGTCATTGCTCATGACATTCCTACAGAAAGCACAATAACTTCTTCCTGAGCAGAAACGCACCTTCCCATTCTGCAATGATCTCTGGAGATACCCTTAAGATGAAAGGGCTATCCATTTTCTTCAGGTCTTCAGCACCCTCACAAGTAACAGATATGTATACCAGGATCATGACTGCCTGTAGCAGATTCAAGTCATGTGCTGCACTATTCACAGCACTCCTCTGCAGTTCCTACTCCCATTACATGACTGTCACAAATATGTTTTCGTCTCCTTTGTTCATCGTTGTAGCTTCTACTGCACAGATCTGAAGTTTTTAGGCAGATTTGTATATGAAAAACTTTACAGTTCTTTAACAGCAGCTACCTATTTGGCTCCTTCAGTGACTTCAGCTTTGATAAGCTTTCAAGGACACCATTATCTTTGCAATCTATATCCTTCTGTTACACTTGGCTGAAATGGGCTCAGGGTAATCAGAAATTACCAGGACATCAGGAAATGACAGAAGACAAGTGAAAAAAGGACACAGATGCATGTGGATCATCTGACCTGTTTTAGCCTTGGTGTTATAACCAGCTAAAGGAAAGGGACAGGAGAAATTGGCTGTTTTTAAAGGTCCTCCTGAGCTCAGGTCTCCAGAAACTAAGAAACTGAGACACCACACATTGGAGGGGGAGATTGGGACTGACAGACACACTTGAAATACAGCAAGAAATCACACAACAACTTACAAAACTGTGTCTAAATAAAGGCTACTCAAATAGCAGACCAGTCTGAATCCAATTGCAGAAATATAGCAAGTACGAAACCCACCCGAAATAAACTGACATTCAACCAATTTGTGAATCTATGGCAGAAAAGGATTGATTCACTCCAGTTCCACTCTTCATTTGTTACCTAGTCATGGCAGAAG